ACACACACACACACACACACACACACACACACACACACACACACACACACACACACACACACACACACACACACACACACACACACACACACACACACACACAGGCCTGTGTTCATCTTTCACTTTATCTTGTGTCTGCTTTACATCAGACTCGTCTCCTCTCTGTTTCAATCACTGGTGGAAAGTAACTGAGTACATCTACTCAGGGTTTCGGGTACTTGTACTTTTTACTCGGCACTCTACTACATGCATGTGACAGTTATAGTTACCAGTAACTTTTTAGATAAAGATCTTTGAAATGTATTATGTTATGTACATTGTGTCCAGAAATGAAAAGTCTATCACACACTTCAATGTATGTAAGTGTCTCTCGAATGTCTTTACTGCTGTGCTTCTACAACAGAAATGTGCAGCTGAAGGAAGACGCTGGAAGCTGGTTTGGTGGGTCAGCTTGCTACAACTTTAATCCAAACATCGCTCTGCATAATCAATACATCATCATATTATCCTCTACATAGCTCCCTCTCATATCTCTAAACAATTTTAACAAAATAAGTCTAGTAGCACATCATTCAATAACATTTTATTTTACAATTCTCTCTCTGTACTGTAGTGTTTTTCTCTTTAAACATCAGGAATATTTGTTCGTTGTCTTTTTTTTTTCCTTTTTCTTTTTTTTTTTTTTTTTTTTTTAAACACAGAGACAAGACAGAGTACACGAATGATGACAAACGCTGCTCAAGAGTCCAGAGTGTGAACACACACACACACACACACCTTGAAATAATTTAATATCAGCTAAAAACAACTGAGCAGAGACCTGACGTGCTAAACTGTTTGAAGAGGAGATGGAGGAGTGACGACCACAACGTTCAACTGGTTCGACGTTCATCACAAACTATTTGTGAAATATATTGAAACGTAAAACAATATTGATGATCAGTACTTTTGGTCTAATTTTAAACAATACTGTCAGTTATCTTCTCTGTTACACTTTTTCAGTTTGAGTTTTTTTACTCAGCAGTAATTAAAAAGATCCTGGATGGATGAAAACTGGAAAGAAAACCTTATTATTCTTCACTGTTTGTCCTGAGGGTGGCACCAGAGGAAATACCATGTCCTTCCATAAATGAAAGGTTTAAGTTCTTGTCATATGGGATGGATGGTAGAGATGGGAAAGACTCATGTTTGTTGTGTGAGGGTTAAAAAAGAAAATACCCTACTTTGACAATATAGCACTATATACCTATTACAAGTGTGTTCAGTTAACTTTATGGATTAAATGACATTTGACATTCCCATTCATTAAGCACTGTTGGTTTGTAAGCTTTCACAAAAATATGAGTTTTCTGGTCATAATTATTGGATGTTGACCTGAAGTTCAAAAAGTGGCGATTACAAAAACTCGGGGTAGACACGAACGTGGCGTTATCCTCTGCATGGAGGCGATTAGGACATCTCCGATTGTACTTTGTGCTGAAATCTACTGTAGCTTAAAGGGAACCCTGCGGAGTGACTTACTAATATACGAACAGTTAATATAATAATGAGAATTCAGTTGTTTTTGAGTCATCCTGTCATGAACTCAAGAGTTGGACACGTTGGCATTCTGACCAGACGGTGGCGCTAGATGTTCAGTCAGAAAATCAGCCAAGTCGTTAGGATTCATCCTCTGGGAACCAAGTTTCAATCCATCCAGGAGTTGCTGAGATATTTCAATCTGGACCGAGTGCTGAGCCAACAGACCTAAACGCAGTCGTTCTAAAGAGACGCTAACGTGGCTAAAAATCATCATCCAGCTGATGGAAATTATTGATGAAGCCACAATCATGATTTGACTAAATTTTGACTCAAGGTTCCCTTACAAGCTTTTTTCTGAGCTTTCAATCCCCCCCCCCATCTCACAGACTTCATCAGTGCAGTTTGATCAACTGTCATCGGTGCGGTTCAGCTGTCGTGAACCAACCTAGCAAGCTAACGCTATGCACCATTGAAGGCCATGAGAAGCAGCCGAAAGCTTCAGAAAAAGCTGGTAAGGCATTGTGGATTACAGCTTCTCTCCACACTCAACACTGACAGACCTCCGACAGTCTAATAAGATAAGTGTGTGGGTTTGTGTGTGTTTATCAAGGATAGTGTGTGTGTGTGTGTGTGTGTGTGTGTGTGTGTGTGTGGTTGCGTTTGCCCGCACACATACACAAACTGTGGTGTTAGTTACATCAGAGGCACTTTGACCCCCTTTTCTGTGTCCCCAAAATAATAATAAAAAAAAAAAAAAAAAAAACAAAGAAAATAAATCTGATTTTTATTTTAATAATTTGGCTTCAAGTTTCAACCCCGACCCCACAAACTGCCCCGGAAAGAAAAAACACAAAAACACAGAGAAAACGCCACGTTAGACATCCAACATGGCCGACTAAAACCACAACAGAGCAGGACTTCCTGGGACCACCTTTCTGTGAACACTTCCCAGCAGACTCGGACACGGTCGACTACAATACTGATCCAGGTGAACTGACGCACGTCATCACTGTTCCTGCTTCATCTGTGGTGACTTTCATGAAGTATTAAAGCAGCATTTTACTTAATTGGTTTACTGATATCTGCAGCAGATATTGTCTTTTTATTACATTTGAAAAATGGGCAGTGGGACCCTGATGACCTTTCACTCAGGAAACGTTATTTATATAAGAGCTGCAACAATTAATGGATTAATTTAGGACTGATGGAAGAGAATTATAACTTCCAGCAGATACAGATTGAGTTTTTAAATTTTTTACCGTTTGAATTCATAATAAAAGTTAGCCTGAATCACTTCCTGCCCCTAGTTTGATGTTTGTCAGTTGATTTGTGATCATCTGACTAAAGACAAATTTGTTTAAGAAAATGCACCATGTAGGCATAATATAGTATATAGGCAGCTAATATCCAAAAGTCATCATACTGCTCTGAGGAAACGATAAAGACAGATGATGATGAAGATGTCAGAGACATTTTTAGGACGAAAGTGAAAACAATGAAGAATTTCATGAGTTAAATTAAAGCTGAAAAAAGCTGCTTCAAAGTGGAGAGAAAGGTGAAGATAGTGAATATTAAAATGTCAGTCCTGCCCAGGAACTATCCTCAGTGTTGATGAAACACACTGATGAAGCGCTGCAGCTGTGACTGCCCAGTTAAAGCAGGTCAGACAGCGCTACAGGGACACACTGGCCCCTAACAGACGCTGATAGCCAATGAAATGTATTCAACAGTGCACTGACGCAGACCTGTCAGTTTTCAGTGATGTGTGGATCATGTTCCCCTGACTGCACTGAGTGCTGCTGGAAAGCGTTGCATTCACCCCCGCCCTGCTCGTGTGTGATGGGACGGGTGTGAAGGTCACCTCAGGCGGGTTTTTTGTGTGGAAGCTTGTCCTGCTGGAGAACGGTTTGTTACCCAGAAATCAGCAGAGAGACGAAAACCAAAAAGCCCCCACCAAAGCTGAGAGAGAGCCGAGAATAAAAACGACAACAAAACTCCCCGTCGCAGAAAAACAAAACAAACACAAAAACAAAATAAAACAAAAAGCATCTGAATCCTCTGTAGAAACCACAACCTTTATATTCCCTCTACAATTATGTACAATTAGACTTTATACAAGTAAAGCAGTGATGCTCTCCTCACAGCGCTGTGTGTGTGTGTGTGTGTGTGTATATATCTGTGTGTGTGTGTATATGTATGTGTGTTCATGTGTCCTAGGTGGAGCTGCTCTTGGAGAGGTTGGGGTAGAGGACGGCTGCCGTCACGGCGACCATCACTGCGATGACCGGCATCCAGGGGCTCCAGCCGCTCTGTCCAAGAGACAACACACACACACGCGCACACACACACACACACGCACACACACGCGCGCGCACACACATGAAAAAACAAAGACAAAGAAGATCAAGTCAGTCTGATTATTGTGTCCAAATCTTTTCACTTAAACTGGACCAAGACTGAATGAAGAATAAAGAGAAAGAGAAGAAAGATGAGGGAGGAGAGGAGAGAGGAGAGAGAGAGAGATAGAGAGAGAGAACAGAGGACTGCAGAAAAAAAGATGATAGAAAAATAAAATAAAAAAATTAATAAAGCTGCTGAAGTCCCTAAAGAGGATATTTTTGTGAACACAGGCAACTTATCTATTAAACTAAAGTTATTAAAAGGTGTTTTGACTCAGATCCCTTTAGTTTGGTTCGTTTAACCTGGTCTGAAAGCTGTCAATCAAACGATGACTATGGACTAAGTGAACCGACAGCGCCTGAAAATCAGGGTCTTGTTCGACCTGACATCAGACTCTGGTGCTTTTAATTTGTTGTGTGAACAAGACGCAGGAGTTAGTGACTCTGTATATGTGACTTCAGCTGAACTACTATTAAATCCATCTGTGGACTGTGAACTGCTCAGAAAATTTGCCTCCAAGCAATTTGTAAGAGCAAAATTTATGCAAGATCATGCGGTAACCATGGAAACGGGTACTCATGTCAGCATGTGAGTGCAGGGATTTTTTCGGTACAAGGCGCCTCCTCTTCGTCCTGTTTCTACCTGCTCGTCACTCTTCATGACACATGAGGTTTCAGTCTGGACCCACAAAGCTCCTGTTCTTCCTTCATGAGCTCTTTCCAACACCAGAGAAGATAAATGAACTGGTCTAGTTGGCATGACGAGCTCTCTGTCACCTGAACTTGATTTTCCTCTGTGGGTCCGTGCAGATCTGATGATGCAGGATGACGTCACCAAAACTGTCCAATCAATGAGCATCTTGTCAGTTCGCTCTTGGTTCACCTTTTCATCCCTTGGTTTGTAGTAACTAAACCTAAACTACAGGTGTGAATATGACCTTGAAGAGTGCACAAGACTCAGGCAATGAACTAGTCTTTCTAATTCTTCTATAAAACTTTCACTGCTTCACTTTTACAGATATTCAGCCAAGTGATTTTTTCAGACATTGTGTCGACACGTAAACGTCCTCTGCATCTTCCTGTAACAGCAGAACAGGTGACCATGTCTAAATCTGTGTAGTTCTTCCATCAGCTGAGCCTGTTGCTCTTTAATTTGAACAGCAGATGATTCTCATCGTTTCATTATATGATGAAGGTTCAGTAACAAAGTTCTTGGCATTTTGAGGCAGCTGTGTGCATCAAATATGAGTAAGCTGCATGGTAGAGAAGCATGTGTGGTCTTTTCCCATAACTCATGCACAAAATAAATAACTTAAATACTAAATAACAAAAATAGAAAATAAAAGAATAGATAATATTGTCTTATGGGACTTCAGGAGAGGCAGAAGATAAAAAATAAAACACAGGTAGAAGCAGCAACGTAAAAACAGGGCTGCGGAGGTTACCTGAGTAGAGAAACAGAAAAGTTACAGACCAGTTTTCCTTCACACCAAACAACTGGAAACACTGGTGAGACATTACTGAATAACCAGACAAGCAGCAAACAACACAGAACGAATACGATGGACAGAATTATGAAGGTTTTAAAATGAACAAAACAGCATCAATGGCTGGAGAGTAAGAAAAAAAATCTGCAGTGAGTCCAAAAAAAAAAAAAAAAAAAGAAAGAAAAAAGATTGAAGACAAAAAGATGGAAGAGCGTCACAATAAACAGAATATCAAACCTGTGAGTAAGTAATGGAAAAATGAACTGAGATGAAGCAGCGGACTGGATGCAAGAAACTGAACAAAAATTAGAGAAATAATAAATGAACCACAAACACTGTTGCAAAAGGAAAAATGATGCATTCACATAAATGAAAATAAAGCACCATCACCCTGAAAGTGAGAGGGAGCTGTGAGGAGACGGTGAGTGAACGCGGCAGGGTGGAGGACAGTGTTAGAGACTCACTGTTAGAAGACGTGGTCAGACATGAAGGTGAGAGCCTGACGCTTTAAAGGGATACCTTTATCTTCACAATATGTTTCCCAGGAAATCTGAGTCCAAAACGAGGCGCAGCACTAACACCAACTGCTTTTTCTTTTTTCCTCTGAATGATTCCTCCTCAGCCTTATTCCCATTCTGATTTCCCATCACATCATTTTCACCAAATTCCTACAATTAAAATCTTAGTAAAACATCTCTAACCTAACTGAACCACCAATCACATAATAATTAAAATGACCCATAACCTCTGACTCCATGTCTGCAAGACAGCCCTGACCTGACCTGTTAAAGTCAAGTGATATTCTGTATTTTATTTAGTGTCAACAAACCCAACGTGCAGACTCATAACAACAACAAAGTGATCGACTAACATGTCTGTATCTAAAGACAGATATCTTGTTCCTCTGTGCCGTCGGGCTCAGCTGTCGTCATAAACTATTAAAAACGCATCAGTGAGACACACTGTTGCTCTGGATGTTCCTTCATTATCATGAACACACACATGTAGTTTATTCCTACAAACACCATCCTGCTGCTGGAAATACTCACAACAGCACCAAATGTGGATTAATCCGCCGGTGAAGATAGTCCCTAACAAATACACCATTCACGTCTGTTTGATTACGTTTGTTTAAAAGCTACAGAGCCCAGCTGCTGTAGGAAACTTTCATGGAATTTGTTGACATTAAGAAAAATAAATGATAACTTCAGCTTTATAGTTTGAGCTCCTTGGTCTTGGCTCCTTCAGACTGCACATACTACTTTCTCTGATGACTTCAGCAATGATCTCTAAGATCTACCAAAATAAAACTGCATAGGAGAGAATTTCTAATTACCACTGTAAGAAAAACAAAAGCTGCTGCTGTTGCATCACAACAACCACTTAATTTGTCCCTGAAACCTCTCAGCTCAGCCACCCACAGGCAGCAACCATTACATAAACACTGCAACGCTAACAAAGCCAGAGAGCTTTTCCCGTAGAAGCCTGAGGACTAATGTTTATTTGGAGATGAAAAATGTCAGTAGGCATTGAGGAGAGTGAGGTATCCCTTTAAGCCGGAGGCTCTGTGGTTGGTGGGAGCCCACCCCTTTAAAGAGCACAGTTCAGAGTCAGCTGCAGGAGAGCAGAAGCAGGCGAGCGAGCAGGCAGACTGACTGACAGGCAGACAAATGGACAGACAGCCATGCTTTAGTTAGAGCTGCTTGAACCAGAGGACGGAGACAGACCATCATGATGATGAAGATGATGCTCAGTTTAGAAGAGAAGTGCAGGAGGTGAGGAGCGTGTCCTGCTGATCAGAATTCAGGGTTCAACTCTAACATCTTGGTTATGTAACAGAAGTCTACACCAAGATGCACTTAACTCTAAAAACTAAACTTTCCATAACTAATCCCACATGACCATAAACTGATCCTTCGCTCTCATTTTTAATGTTTTTATAAAGGATGAAAACTAAAGTAGTAATTTACTACATGGTTCATCATTAGCTTTCACCTGCACAACACCTTTCTTCCTGCGGCCGAGAAATAAGAGAAACAATACACTGTTACATGTGTGTTCATCCAAACAGCACAGAGTGAAGGCTGGCACAGCCTGGTCATCTTTGTAAACATGTCACATGTTTTTGATCAGATAGTTCCTGATTGAAATCATAATTTAATCTAATCATTTTTTTTTTTTAATCCAGGGTGTAGCTACCTCATTACTGTATCCTAAAGTTTTAAATTTCCCACCCAAACCTATGACCCTGAATTCATCAAAGAGCAGGACAATGTTTTCACCTCAGTCAGCTTCCCTTCCACAAACAATGGAGGGATGATGGACAGATGGAGGCAGCAGAGACAGATAAAGAGACAGACTGATGTCATGTCGGTGTGTACCTTTCTACCACAACTGGCCGAAACACCAGTAGAGCAGAGCCAGGACAAGGCCCATGAATATGGCTTGGACAGGCTGCAATATGGATGGCTAGAGGGAGGGAGGGGAGAGGAGAGGGATAAGAAGAAATCAGCCGGCAAATCAACCAAAACCAACATGGAAGATGGAGCAGCTACAGCAAGGGGGAGGGAGGGGGGAGACAGAGAGAGAGCGAGAGAGTGAGAGACAGAGACAGAGAGAGAGAGACAGAGAGAGAGAGAGACAGAGACAGAGACAGAGAGAGAGAGAGAGACACAGAGAGAGAGAGACAGAGAGAGAGAGGGGATTTGTACGAAGACAGATCTTATCCAGTCAGCCGTTTCTACCAAGCAACACCGCCGTTTCTACATTCAGCCACATTCACAAAAAAAATTTAAAAAACCACAGAAGAAGAACGGCGTCACCAGGCTCTTTTTTTAACAACAACACCTTCCTGTAGGATTTCAGCTCATTAACTTTCTGCACCAGGACGTCTCATTAGCACTCAAAAGCTGATCTGTATCAGCTGCTGCTGACAGCACTAAAAGTCCACTGGCGTTTAAAGGCCAGTGCCAAATTCTCTACTGTAGTTTCTATTAATGTCAGTGTCATGCTTGTCTGGTAACTGGTCTCTAAATAACAATTTTAATGATCAACTGTGTTATTAAAGTGATTAGAAGCTAGATTCAAGTTATATCTTTTGTAAACAAAATAGTTTGACGTTTGTTTTTTTAAATAAAAACTTTTCTTCATTCACGAAAACTATTCAAAAAAGCAGCAATAAACCATTTGAAAAGATTTGGATTCTATAAGCAGGTTCAGAGCTGGATTCAGACTTGATAAAGTGCTATTGAACCACATCCCTAACACAGCAGGTATCACAAAATGTAGGTTCACAGAAGGAAAGCTAAAACACTGTTGTCTGTAAACTGGAGTGCTAACGCATGACACATTGTGCCTGGTGGAGATAAATAATGGACATGAAGGATGATTCTGATTCATTACAACTTGGGACTTACTTTCATAGTTTGGATCCGTAATTTCTATCAGTAAAATCAAATAGTACCAAAGTAATTGCTGAGATTTGGGAACATGAAGACATCACTACAACAAAGTCTGACGGGAGAGACATACACTCCCCACGTCAGCACCTTCTGGCTACTGCACCCCGACACGTCGGCCTCCCCGTGTGAGCTATACGATGCCTATAGCTGCACCATGTGATGACGCTGACACGTGTTGCACTTCAGATAATCAGGCTGCGAACAAACCAACAATCCAAACTACTTAATTTGGGGTTTAAAATGAAAGTTAATGCACCTGAATCTCTGTCATAGTAAAGAAAAACTGTAGAGTTTGTGAGTCAAAGTTGAAGCAGGAATTCGGTCTGTAAGCCGTGATGAATGTTTACAATGAGCAGTTTGGTCATTGATTTACTGCTGACCTTTATTTTCTTTTCTTAACAAGTTTCTCTAACCTTAAGGTTTGTTTCCAACCTGTCTGATTGTGTCACTGCTCATGTTTAATGACCTGCTCTTTTCAGGGATGTCACCTTGTTCCCAAATACCAGCGATTAACTCGGTCAACACAATGTTATTCATCACATTTCAAGATTCATTTATTTGTCCCTCAAGGGGCAATTCGAAGCAGCGAGCACTGATTATTACAGACAGTAATCATAGACAAAGCAATGAAAGTACAACCACAGTTGTAATAATCAGAAATTATCCTTTAGAAAGTTCAGTTAAAACAAGGTTTGTTGATCTAGTCCTGTGAATCTAGATCAGGACTTTTATTCTGAAAAGCTCTGTGGAAACAAAACCTGAGGAACAAGACAAACATTTGCCATCACATCAACAGAAGTCTGAGGAAGAGGAAGAACTAAAGACAGGTAGAAGAAAGAGGAGAGAGGGAGAAGAGGAAGAGGGGTAAGAGAGGAGGAGGAGGCTGCTCTGCCTCGCTGTTGTCATCTGATTTTTTGATTCTTTCCTGTAGTTTTCACAGTGGCAGAGACAAACTAACAGCTGTTATTTATCGGCTTAGGATCAAAAGGCAGCAGAGACAATAGTGTGACATGATGTCACCTTAGCTGGAAGAGCTGGGAGGATCCATTTCTTTATTTAACTGCTTCAATCTGCTGCAATCACACCTGAAATTTTATTCTTGCTACTTTGTCAATGATTATTTTGTTGTTATTTATAACAGACCCTGTTTACATACTGTATTTACTCAATTAGCTTTTACCTCCAGCAGACAGTTTGTTATCAACCCTCTTTGTTAGTCATCGGGACTGAAGGTCTGATTACAGATTCATTTGGGAATCCAAACAACACTGGTTGTGAGATGTTTTTCTGTCTAGAGTTAGTAAGTAAGCAGTGAGGAGGGAGGCTGTGAACCCGACGTTCTGGGTGAGTTACGGCTAGCGAGTCCAAGACACCCAGAGTGTCCAGAAGCAAATCTGGTGTTTCTCCTGTGTTCATCTTTAAAAAAAAAAACAAAAAAACAACCGAACAAAAAAAAACAACAAACAAAAAACACAAAACTGTGGAAAAAACATCAAGAAAACAAAAACATCTGGATTAAAGCTGAACAAACAAAAATAAAAGTTTACAACACAGATAGTCCATTATAGTCTTTGGTCTTAAAAGGTGTGTCTGTATGTGTGTGTGTGTGTGTGTGTGTGTGTGTGTGTGTGTGTGTGTGTGTGTGTACTCACAGAGCTGGTCTTGTCCTGCAGCAGCTTCAGGCTGCTCCTGCACTGCTCCAGCTCCTGGTGGATGTTCCGCTTCTCCTGCTCTGTTCGCTCGTAGCGCTGACGGAGGTCCAGCAGCTGCGACTGTGTGTCTTCATACTGCACATACGAGTATCTATAAGTTGTCAGATCACCAATATGTGTGAAGAACTGACTACACAACTTCAAGGGATTGTGTACCTCTCTCTGCAGTGTGTGTGTGCGGGCCTGGGCCTGGTCCAGCTGGCTCTTCAGCCTGCTTGCGTCCTGCAGGTGTTGGTTCTCCAGAGAACCCAGTTTATCCTGCAGAACCTCCTCCCTCTTCTCCAGAGACTCCAGACTGCTGCTGAGGACCAGACTCTGCTCCCTGGTGCTGCGCACAAACATGCAACACAAACATAACCAGTCCATAACTGACAAAATACATCAGCATGTCACGAACATGTTCATCAGTCTCTGCCAGAGTTCACACAACCAGATTACATTACATTCCTTCCCACAGCATGATCTGAAGCACTAAGGTGACCTTTCAGACTGGATTCAGGGCAAAGTTACAAAGATGTAAATCCTGAGATCCTGAGAGATTCCTCACTTGTGTATACTCTACATAATTGGAAGATCAACTTAACCACAATTTTTCACATAACATAAACGCATGAGGACACAGAGGACGTCAGGTTACTAAGATCAGAGTGTTTATTGTTTTTCCTGCTCGAACTCCATCTGTTCCCTCTCACTGACCTCATCTGTCTTAAACATTTATTGTGATCTGGGATATTATGTATTGACTGGATGGACCTCATTTGTTGACAGCAAAGATTTTGATCTGATGGGACATTTGGCTGGACCGGAGGAAGCCTCCCCTCTGTGACTGACCTCTTTCTGTTACAGCTCAAAATATGATTATCTGCTTACGGAGGCGCATGTGTGTCTGAATCAGGTAACACTGCAGCGTGTTTGTGTTGGGGAACAGTTGGAAGAAAAATGCCCTCTGCTCTCTTCTGCCGTTTGTTTTGAGCTGCTGCAAATATTTTCACTAAACTGGGACATTGTTGAATTTGGCTTCAACTTCAATTGAGTATTTAAAGATGTTTAGAAAACAAATACTGGTCGGGCTGCATCTCAGCAGTGACGGGACAGCGAGCTGGAGCAGACAGGTCTTCTGACATCTGCAGTTTAACTGGTGTAATTCATTACAAATATTCACTAAAAGTGCTGCCGATGGCACCTACAGTTTATTGGAAACTAGTGAAAAAGCAGCTGAAGCTCAGATAAAACCTGCTGAGCTCTCAGCTCCGATGAGAACATGTAGTGATGTTTTCTCTCCATGGAGATCAGACAGAGCACAGAGCTGCAGCCTGTTAACCTGCTGACTGCTCGGTCTGGCTCTGTCAGCTGTCAGTCATCTGCTGTCTCCTCGTCCTGCTCTGGCTGAATCAGCTGGACGCCATGTTTCCTCCTGGCAGTCTCATCATCAGTCCATCCTTTAATGCCTTCTCCAAACTCTGAACTGCGTCAGGCTCTGAGGACTTGGCGGAGCTCCTGTTAGCTGTCCTGAGCCAGAATTCATCAACTCCATCACGGCTGTCACAAAGACTTTTAGGTTCAGTTTTAATGTCCACCCTTGAGTTTGACACGCATTCCTAAAATGTTCTGGGTTGAACCTCGGCTTTACATTCAGTTAAGAGTTTGGGGTCTTTTCCATGTTGAGTTGTAGTTTTAGGTGTTGCATACTATATTCAGTTATTATTATCGACTATAAATCATTTATTTATTAAAGAAACTAAAGAAATTCTTTGAAGTGTTTAGAAATCTCTAATTCTGTCAGGAGCTAAACTTTTAGTTTTGATGTAAAATCAGCACCTGCAGTACAGAGTGGTCTGGTGTTACTGGTCTGTGTGTGTGTGTGTGTGTGTGTGTGTGTGTGTGTGTGTGTTGTGTGTGTGTGAGTGTGTGTGTACCTGCTCAGCTCAGTCTCCAGGCGGTGCAGTTTTTCCATAAGAGCTTTCCGTTCACCTCTCAGGCCTTCACAGTCCTGCTGCAAACACACACACCGCTGCTGCAATGCAACACACTCCACTGAGGGAGGGAGGGAGGGAGAGAGAGAGACAGAGAGAGGTACAGTCATAATTAGTACCCACTTCATTCATAAACACAAACATATAGACTGTCATTGGCACAGGTACACACGTACACACACGTACACACACACACACTCTGCTCACCCTGCAGCTGGTTGGCGGTGTTCTGCTGCTGTTGCTGCTGTGTGAAGGCCTCCTGCAGCCGACTGATCTCCTCCTCGTACTTAGAAGCCGTGTTCCTCCAGTGCTCCAGCTCAGAGCGCACGCTGCCCAGGTCGGCCTGCAGGGCGGCGATCTCGCGCTCCCGCTCTGCCGTTGCTGCCTCCATGGCGTGCCGCAGGACGAGAATCTGAAAGCAGAAACAGTCCAACGGAAGGTCAGTGATGTGATATATGACTGGGGTTTATATTGCAATAATTGAGGAGTCAGGAGTCAGGAAGAGTCAGAGGGGAAGTGGATGGAATTGGAGGGGAGTCACGGGGGAGTCGGGCGGGGTCAGTGAGGATGCCTGGTTGGGCTGAGACAGAGGAGTAAAAAGGGATCACAGGCGGAGTCAGAGGGGAGTCGGCTTGAGTCAGAGGGGAATCCGAAAAAAGGGGGAGTTAAATTTGTATGCAGGTGTGCTAGTGAGGTGCAGTGGTACCTCCTCCTGGGCGGAGTAGAGCTCCTCTCTGGTGGTGCAGATGGTGCTCTCCCTCTGCTCCCTCAGTGCCTCCATGTCAGCCTGCAGCTTCCCGAGCTGAGCTAAACACACACACAAACACAAAGGGGAAGTGAGGAGGGAACAAGGCAGATCGTGATGCATACAAGTGTACAGTATCTTATTGTTCTCTGTGTGTGTGTGTGTGTGTGTACTAACTCTGCAGGTACTGGATCTGTTTGGTTGACTCCTCAGTCAGCTGAGAGTTACTCCTCCTCTCCTCCTCCAGCAGAGCTACAGGGACACAGAGAGTCACAGAGTCACCATCTCCCCCTCACTGATCTGTCATGATGTAATGCGACTTACAATGGGATTCATTTTTGAATTTGAGAAATCAAGAAACTATAATGTCAAAAAAAATAGTCTCTCTCTGCTTTGTTATGAAACTTTTTACAGTCCACATTTCTATTTTCAGAACCTCAAGTGAAATGGGAGGAAATTTAGGAATTTGTTGACGCTAACTGGAACTATGATCTAGTCACAGCTCCCAGAGTGGGATTATTTTTATAATGTTAGTTACCTTGGAGCTCCAGACATTTCTGCTTGCCGGTGTTGGCTAATTCCTGGGCCTCCAGAAGCTCTCTGTGGAGATGGTGGATGACCTGCTCCGTGTCTCCAGGCTCTAGACCGGCCCGATGCAACTCAGCTACACACACCACACACAGTAATTTTACTCTCTTAAAACATGTAATGGACATGTCATACACTATAAATTAAAAAAGTTAAAAATAAACTCAAAGAATAAAGCCATTAAAAGGACCTGAAGGCACCAAAGTAACTGAACAGCTCCCCCCACTGGCTCACAGCCCTGGTTTATGGCTTTATGGTCTGTTAGTGCAGCACAGAGCAGAACTACAAAGCACAGATGAGCTGCCATGGTTACCTTTGAGCAGAGCTACTCTGTTCTGTGGTTCATTCAGCTCCTGGTCATCCATGTTGCCATCTGAAACACACACACACACACACACACACACACACACACACACACACACACACACACACACACACACGGGACACAAACACACACACACACACACACACACACACACACACACACACACACACAGATGATTTCTGTACTTTTCTAAATAAAGTCTTAGTGTATGATTTAGTTCTCAGCAGATTATTTTGAAAGTATTCCATGGTGAGTTTATTACAGAGTAGAAGCTCTATGTGTAGCAGATGCAAAATGATGAAATTTGATGAAAACACTTTTCCCCATGGAACACTAAACATTGTTAAAAGTTATTAAAGTTCAGAAAAACTGAAAAACTGAAAAAGAAAACCTCTGCAAAAAAATGAACAAATAGGACCTACATACTCAACTTGTATTATACTATATACTCAATATAATTTGATATAAATAATTCAATATGAAAATTTAAAACATGACCCTGTGTGACTGACCTGATGTGTCGTCACTGCTGCGATCTTTGCTAGGACTCAGAGTGTCTGACATGTCTGACTCTTTGGCATCCATCTGATTCCCTGTGGACAGACACACACAGAGAGGGGAGGGGGGGGGGGGGGGTTAGTCACGAGGGGAGTGCATAGGTGGGACAAACCATTTACAAGTTTATAGTAACAACTAATAAAAATATTGCAGCAAACAAAATTAAGGAAGAAGAATTTAAAAAAAAAACAAAAAAACAGACCAATATACACAAACGTACATGTGCTTATATAACCACACACACTTGTGTGAAGTGCACTGACTGGAGTTATTGTAGTGAACGAGGCACAGCAGGGCTCAGGAGATGAAATAGAAACAACAGCAGCAGCAGTTTGGAGCAGCTTTATGTGACTGAGTGGTGAATTTTTGAATCTCTGAGCTTTAGACCTTGGGAGTGAGGACATGTTGTCTGTTCCTCTCTTCTTTAAAAAGACTGTTTGAAGCTTTAGACTTGACTTTGGGGTTGAAGTTAGAAACAAGGGGTTAGACATGTGGTTGTTCCTCAGAAGTAAACAAACATAAAAGTTTGTGCATGTTCAAAGAAAGTGTATTTCAGCAGGATGTGGAAGCCCTCACACATGGCTGCTGCTGCTGCTGCTGGTGTGCCTGAGCATTGTGTTTGTGTCCACAGAGGATCCAAAGGATGACAAACAGTCAGACCTCTCACAACAGCAAAGACAAGGTCAGAGGTCAGAGGGCACTACAGAAGGATTCCTCCATGTCAGCAGTTTTGCCCTTTGTGATTATTTCTTCACAAAAAGAAAAGTCATTGTACTGTCCCCAAAAGACCGAAAATGAAAACGATTCTAAATGTATTAATGAGGAGGACCTGATTTAATTTTACCATCACAGAAATTAAACAAGAACTGGCACAAAATACAGTTGTTGGTTGGTCATTTTATAACAAAGATTATGCAGATGACAACATGTTCACTGTTTGTTTTAGAAAGCATGTTGGCAAACTTCAGTTCAGCACTGATCCACAGTAAACACACGACACTCAAACACGGTTCCAATCAGTAATCATTGGTCTATATTTAGCAGCCGGGCCGAGGACAGTATAAAGCTGTATTTATACTGTGTTAAGGGGGAGGCTATGCCTTGCAACCCACTTAGTGTTGCGGTGATGATACCAAAACCTCTTGTATCAAGTATAAATCCTGCTTAGGTCTGTGAGTGTGTGTGTGTGTGTCTGCTACCTTTGAGTCGATCAGGACTGGCCAAGATGTCGTCTTCGGCCGTCTGGTTGTTCTGTAGGTGGGCGTCCATCACTTCTACAAAACAAACACAAGCACACAGAAACATGAGGTCTAAATTTCCAGTTCACACTTGTTAGTGATGCTAGAATATAATTCAGTTTAATGTGATAGCACAACTTTTTATCTTTAAGTTAGTTCATCAATCGACTCAGACAACAGAAGAGAACTACTGGTGAGAATTTTTTCCTTGAAGCTTCGATGAGCTCTTACCATCAAAGTTGGCCAGTTTGTGGATTGAAGAACTTACAGTCTCCTTCAGCTGTTTGACGGCTGCAGGGAGAGAAAAAGGAAATCCAGGGGAAACCAGTGAATAAAACCAGTTTAAATTTGTTGGAAAATACAGAGTTTGAACTTGAATCGATTCAGATCTGTTCCAAACTCTGCAAATGTCCTGTAGGCCAACTTTACACCGTTTCAATACAAGCAGCAGTCACACAGGCATTTACACTGACTCAGGGCGAGTTATCAGCTGAATTAGTGGCTGGTTAATAACAGACGTTAAGTGTAGAAACTCACTGAACTAATGTTTCACTTCAACTACTGAAGTCATGCTCAATTTTCTTTTAGCCAATGCACATTAAAAGAATCGGTGACAAGTTAGCTGGGATAGTTTTGTGTTGGTTGTCTTGTTTATCGCATAAAAAGAATGACTGCTGGTACTACATGAAAGCGTATGTACATCTACTGTGATTATAAGTGCACATAGAATAAACCAGTTGTTTATAGTACAGGCATGTTCTAACCTCAGACCTGAACGTTCCTCTTCCCTGCAGGGACAACAGTCTAAGACATGTTAAATAGAGACTGATCCAGATTAAAGTCTGACGTAAACAAGCCGTCATCCCTTCAGTTCTACACCCCACTACATCTTGAAATAAAGTCATTAAAATGCCACTGAAAAAAAGGACATATCTGTTTAACAGAATTTAGCTGAGTTACAGTGCATCAGATGCCTGGATGTCTTCACCTGCTGGACTGTGCTGCTACCAGCCGCTCTGACAAACCCTCCACTCACTTGATGCAGATTCTTCTCTGTGAATCCTCCTGATCCATCTAAAGCCAAACGCACTGCATTTAAGTTTTTATAAGATTTAAACTTTTGTTTCACTGTTAACACCGTCAGTCAAACTGCATTCAGTCACAGCACATAAACGAAACACTGGATTGGTCTTGAACAATATTCCCTTTTAAAATGTGAAGCACCAATGAAGGTAGATGGAGGACTTCTGCATCGTCTACTGCAGCCAGCCACAACAGCAGCGAGTTGTTGCAACTAAATGATATCTTCATAACCAATTCATCTGCAGATTTTCTCCATTGATCTTTTATTCTATAAAAACGCTCATCACGATTTCTCAAAGACCAAGTTGAGTTCATGTAATGTCCCAAAAACCAAAGATGTTTGATTTTCTATGTTAAAGAACAGCAGCAAAGTCTCACCAGAGAATATTTGACATTCTACTTGAAAAATTGCTCAAATGATCAATTTTCAAAATCATTTCTGATTGATTTTCAATTAATTATTAATTAATTGACTAATGTTAACTACAAACACCACTTCTATGTAACCGACAACTGATAGCAAATGTCACTGCAGCCAACAAAAAAGGAAAAGAAGCAACAGTTCAATATCAGCTGCTGATTGGTGGTATCAGAAATATAGGCAGTCAAGGGAAGTTTCCACAGACAAGATACTTGAGCTGCTTCAGGTATGATCATGTGGAAAGGATTTAAATTCAAAAGCCACTAAACAAATTCTCTCTTAGCAACCAGAGGCAAAGACAGAACCAAAAGAGAAGGGTGACAACAGAAACACAAAAAGAGAGAAATGATGAAGTTAGTAAACTAATCCATTGAAAAGCATGCAGAGAAAAAAAAAGAGTCAAAGATTTGCTAAAGAAGAAGAAAAGAGGAGCATGTGAGTGATTCTTGAAAAGCTGAGAGGAAACCAGTCAGCCAGAGGAACCAAGCACCACACACACACACACACACACACACACACAACTGAAACAACCCAAACAAAAGTCAAACCTGTCACTACAGACAAGAACTTCACTGACTTCATGTGGTTGAGCAACAAACACACATGCCTCCAGAAAGACAGTTGAACCAGGAGTGAGACAGAAATATAAAAGAAATCAAACATAGAAGTACATGCTGTTCATGTTCCACACGCACACACACACACGCACACGTGCACACACACACACACAAAACTTTGCTCTATCAAGAAATGTCTTTTCATAAACAGTGTCCTAGTTACTCCTGATGATACAAACTTCAACAGTAGTTTTCAATGCAAACTGTTGACAGTGAGATCAGTGGATTACACTGAATAATGGGGACATTGATTCTTCACCTATGTGATCTAATCTTTACAGTGTGCGCAAACAAAGTGCACTGACAAAATTTTACCAACTTTACTTATAATGTGACAGAATAACAGCTGGAAAAATCTTCTTCAAAACATCAGGCTCGTCAACAATATCTTTTCCTGCCTGACTAGAGCTAGTTCTGCCATGATGTCAAGATGGTTTCTTTGTGAAAAGCATCAAGAAACTTAACAAGCCATCAAGAGACTCAGTGTGGAACCAAATTCAGACTCAACAGCTACGCTAGCAGCTCTGTGACGCTGTATTTGGGCACAGCGGTGCTTTGAATGAAATGCTAACATCACCATGCTAACATGTGCAAAGTGTTGATGGTATCATGCTGATGTTAAGCAGGTGCAACGTTCACCATCTAATGGTGGTGCTGAAGGAAAAGTCATGTGGATATAATGAACGTCTGTACAATCTCACAGCAATCCATCTCATAAATGCTACTGTTATTTATCATTATATATTTCAGACTGGACCAAAGTGGTAGACTGACTGACGACCAACACTGCCATTGGTAAATCCAAGTTAGAAAGACTAAAATAGATGAAATGTTACGAATAGGTAAAAATAAAATACTCATGTTCAAGTCGAAGTGATCAGACACTAAGTCTAAATTTTGACTGGGGTTTAACTTACCACCACATAATTTTGATTTACTATTTTTTTCTTTAACTTATTTTTATTTTCATCATTTCTACTTTTTCCCCGGCTTCAATGGTCCTCTGTAGATACTGTAAGTAATAAAGTGATTATAGACAGTATGTGTGTTTCTGTATGTGTGTATGTGTAGCCTCGTACAGCAGGAATGGACGTTTGTACTCACGCGGACACTCAATCAACTGTTGGATTCTAGTCGAGTCTCCTCCGCTGTTGTTTACATGACAGTTGTCTGATAGAAACACGGAGAACTGACGTTACTATGACGCCTATCAGAGTTGAGTTGGGTATTTATCTTAGATCTTATTGATTATCAATGCCAGATCTGACTGAATCTTAGCTGAGGCAAACACACCACATCTTTATTTGGGGCAAATTGCGACTGTCAAGTGTCATTTTTTAAGATGATTTTTGGTAAAACAGATAAAATGTATCATTATGCTCCATCACACCATGCATAATTTCCTCTGGTCTTATCATTAGATGATTTGGACATCAAGACTACAGGAAATGCTCATGGTAGATGGACTTCCCCCTCGCATGAGATTACTTTGTGAAATGCTTTCAGTGGTTCACTACTCACAAACACTCACTTTCTTCTGCTGTATTTGTTGATGCGTGTGCGCCCTGCTACGTGTATTTAAGAGGAGAAGGTCAAAATCTTACTTTCTGGAATTGACAAGCCATGTTTATTAGTGAGCACTCGGTTTGTGTAAATTTAGAAAAGGTTTCAATCCAGAATCGGTTCTAAATACCCAACTCAGTATTAGAGAGTACGAGATAGAGAGAGCCGAAAACAGACAGCGAAGACGGAAATGACAGAGAAGGAAGAGACAGATACAACCAGGCAGAAAGCATGACAGAACTACCGAGTTAGAGAGAGACTGATAGCTACACGGACAGATAGATGTTTGATAAACAAACGGACAGAGCAGAAAATCAGCCGTATATGGCGGGTATTAGATAAGAAGTTTAACACAGATACCACAACACTGTAACAACAGACAGGATGTGGACAGCAGACAGACAGCTAAGGTTTTAATTTAAGTCTCTCAATAACTTCTCAGTCCAACAAAATGTGGAATTAAACAGCCCGACAGTTTAAACTGAACTACACTACAGCGTCATGAAAAATAATCCAACAATCTCATCATTTAAATCCTCAAGAGTTTCTGCATCAGCGGCAGATTCTCAACGCCACAAACTAAAACATGACAGCTTTTACAAATTATATTTTGGGAATGTTTGGAAATGTAAAATGATGAAGTATGCATGGCATCATATTGGCTGACTCATGCACACTAAACTATAACTGCTAAATATATTTTAAGTGTGAACTTAAAATAAGAATGAAATTTTAAGAGAAAATAAATATTTCTCTGGATGAAAAGTTAATTAAGCATTTTGTATAAACTCCACTTACAGAATACGGAAAACTAGAAAAACATAAGGTCTGGAATCACTTCATAAGATCAGGTTAACGAAATCAATGTTCTGTCTTTTATAAAATCTCATTGTATAGGTTCAATTCTTTAATATGATAAATATTGTCTATTAATTTTATGGCATTTTCATTTGCAATTTTTTTTTAACTTATGATTTATACTGTTTTATATATAGGATTATTTTCTTTTATCCTGCAAAGCACTTTGCCAAACCTGTTATAGAACAGTGCTGTATATAAATCACACGGTTTATTATTATGATAATCAAACTAACTACCATCATTATCTTCATCTTCACCAACTGCACCATCATCGGTGTCTGTATCCTCCTCATCTTCGTCTTCCTCGTGGCTCTCGGGTGTCTGCTGGCTCTGTTTGTCCTCGACAGGCTCCTCTACTGGTCCGTGGGAGACAATGTTGACATCTGTCATGTGACCAGATCAGATTTATACGATTTTGTCGAAACTTTACGAGCCAGACACATGTTCAGAACAGAGTAAGAGTCCAAATGATGGCATGTTCCTTCACAAAGTGGCTACTGTGGCAAAGTGCGCAGTGAGACAGTCACCTCCAGCATTTCTATTCAGTGTTGTCATTCAATCACCAGAAGTCAATCAGTGACTAAAAGCTCTTTTTCCCCAGACCAAGAAAAACAAAGCAGTGGACAGTTTGGCAACCACAGAAACAACCCAGATTATCCAACAAGCCCCGTCCAGACCTGACAGTGTTCCTCCGTGTCCCTGAGACAACCTGTCTCTAAGACAAAGACACCCACGTGCTCAAAGTCTCGTACAGCCTGGCCCTAATCCAGGGGGACTGGGCTGGTGATTCACACCACAGTTGGAGCTGCAGGTCACGTGACACACTTTGGCTCAGAAATACTTTTCCTATACACAATCATTATAGAAGAAACTGCTTACAACAATAAATATTTATTTTCTGAGCAGCAGCATAAACACAGAAACAGTGAGATTTCTGTGTGTGTAAATAAAATTTGGGTCCAATAAAAATCAAAAATATCAAAAAGCCTAACAGCACAGTATTTTCAGCCAGAGAATGATTTTTATAAGCTACCAGGCCAAAAACATGCAAACCTGAGGAACTTTTTCAGTATATGCACCCGGTACATCGTGTCCCGTCTGAACGAGACGCCAGTTTACTGTGCGTGTCATCACACAGGATGAACGTGATTTTTATTTAATCTCAGCTTGTGGTGCTCACTGTTCAAACAGTGAGTGAACAGGAAGATGACAACACCTGTGATGAATAATTGTACTTATGCACATTATGTAGTTTATCCAAATCATCCATTGCACTGCCACGGTCTCTTCCAATGCCCTGTACTTGTGAACACTATGCACATTTAAACATACATTTTATTGAAATCAGTGATTGCTGCTCTACTCTAATCTCTTAACATTTTTGGTCATCTTCCTTTGACTGTAAATTCACTTAAACACATGAAAGCCTGACCTCTATATTGGCATGGACAATATTTTCGATCAACATATCTTCACATCTTGGTCACAATTTGTTGATATAATTTGCGGGTTCCTTCTCAAAAATATTTTCTTATGCTACATGTTGATGGTGAATATTGGATGATTTATTGCTATTCAGCCTGAAGGGGTGAGTACTGGCGGGCTCTAGAATATGTTTGTTTATGTGTATTTGTATATGACCATAGGTTCTTATGTATGCTATCAATTTCCAGTGGCGTATTTTTTATTTTTTTCTATCTTCTTTTATTTTATTGTACTGACACTGACTCCAAAACAAATTCTTATATGTATGTGAATAAAGTTTGTCATTCTATTTCTGAAGTAAAGCAGTTGTTTGTTGTTTTTTCAACAAATTTCCTGACATCTGAAGATTTTTATTAAGGTGGACTGATCATTTATCTTGCTAACAGTAGCACACCTGCTGTGAGAATCAGCTGTCAGTCCGATGGTGCTGCGGTGACAGCTGATTATTTCTGAATGATTTAATGTCTCTCATGGATTCTGCAATCAGAAAAGTATCTCAACTAAACCTAAATCAACATCACATGTCCCCTGAAGGACCTGAGGGCTGAACATCGAGCTACCGTGAACAAGACCGAAACAGAAGAAGAAGAAGAGCCAGATTTCCACTGTGACAGACAGAGAGACAGATGAACAAAGAGAGCGAAGAGCAGCAAGCAACACGAAGTTATGTGGACATCATGCAGGAAGTTGTCATGCATCATTAGTGGAAGATGAGGATGTGAAGTTAGTGGCCACAGAGATAAAAACAGCGACGAAGAGGACGAGTGTCCCCGAGCAGACCAGAGACGTGAGGACTCACCCAGACTGTTGTTCTCTTTAATGCTTTTCTCTTGTAGCTGTTGTAACCGCACTGTAAACAACAACAACAACAACAACAGCAGAGAGAAGCGTTGACTGACAGGAAGTCCCAGCTGAACCTCCTGATTGGTCAGGGGTATGTTCTGATCCGGCGACTGGTTGCTACGGTAAATCATGTGTTGACCAGGGAGTTAAAGTGATTGGCTTACAGGGTGCAGGTATGTTAGCGTGTTAAACGTTAGGACAGGACTTTGTGGATGTATGTGCTTGTCCATCTTTGTGAGGACTAATTTGAATTTCACACCTCGGGAGTGAGGACATTTTAGCTGCTCCTCACTTTCAGACAAATCTTCAAAGGCCTGTTTGACGGTTCAGACTTAGTTCTAAGGTTAAGGTTATTATTACGTTTACATTTGGCTTTTCCTCGTGCTGGATGAGGTTAGAGTTAGGGGCTAAGAATGCATTATGTCAATGAGGGTCCTCACAAAGAAGAAGTACCAACACCAAGTGTGTGTGTGTGTGTGTGTAGTGTGTGTAGTGTGTAGTGTGTGTGGAGTGTGTGTGGAGTGTGTGTGTGTAGTGTGTGTGTAGTGTGTGTGTGTAGTGTGTGTGTGTGTAGAGTGTGCGTGTGTAGTGTGTGTGTGTAGTGTGTGTGTGTGTAGAGTGTGCGTGTGTAGTGTGTGTGTGTAGTGTGTGTGTGTGTAGAGTGTGCGTGTGTAGTGTGTGTGTGTAGTGTGTGTGTGTGTAGAGTGTGCGTGTGTAGTGTGTGTGTGTAGTGTGTGTGTGTGTAGAGTGTGCGTGTGTAGTGTGTGTGTGTAGTGTGTGTGTGTGTAGAGTGTGCGTGTGTAGTGTGTGTGTGTAGTGTGTGTGTGTGTAGAGTGTGCGTGTGTAGTGTGTGTGTGTAGTGTGTGGAGTGTGTGTGTGTAGTGTGTGTGTAGTGTGTGTGTGTAGTGTGTGTGTGTGTAGAGTGTGCGTGTGTAGTGTGTGTGTGTAGTGTGTGTAGTGTGTGTGTGTAGTGTGTGCGTGTGTAGTGTGTGTGTGTAGTGTGTGTGTGTGGAGTGTGTGTGTGTGGAGTGTGTGTGTGTGTGTGTGTGTAGTGTGTGTGTGTGTGTGTGTGTGTGGAGTGTGTGTCGTGTGTGGGGTGTGTGTGGGGTGTGTGTGTGTGTGTGTGTGGAGTGTGTGTGTGTGTGTGTGTGTGTGTGTGGAGTGTGTGTGTACCCTGCAAAGCGGCGAGCCTCTCGTTGCTGAAGTCGTTGTCGGCCTGCAGAGCCTCGATGCGAGCCTGGAGAACCTGCTCCTTCTCCTCCATCTCCTCGATCCGCAGCTCCAACTCCCTCTTCTCCGTCGCCCCCCGCTGGGTCAGCTCCTCCTGCCGGCCCTCCGCCGCCTGGAGGAGGAGGCAGGGAGGAGAGGAGGAGGCAGGGAGGAGAGGAGGAGAGTGAGAAAGGGAAGGAGGGAGGCAGGGGACAGAGGAGGAAGATACCAAGACGGGGAAGAAAGGGCAAAGGAGGGTAATTTACTGTTCATAAATGATACTGGTCAAATATCCCACAGGTCACAATAAACTGATACAGAATCATCAAACTATTAAATCAGATTATGGATTCTCAGGAGGTGAGGGTAATATCACACCAGGATTCTGATGTAATACACCCAGCTAGTGTGTTTTAGGGTCTGTGTACCTTTGTTGTCTGGTTGCAAGACCAATTTTAGAGAAACTGAATTCAAGTTAAATCTAATCTGAATAATTTCCTCTCTGTGTGTCTGGGGCCTCGCTGCAGATACCTTGATTTTGTCTGTGAGCTCCTTGATCTCGTTGACAGCGGCGTTGTACTTGTTGGCGAGTTCCCTCAGCTCCTCCTGGCCCCTCTCAGACATTTCCTTCAGGTGGGTGCACTCATCCTCCGTGTTACTGAGCGAGCGCTGCAGGACAGTGGAAATAAAAAACTTTTAGTTTCGCCTATCGCCTCAAAATTACAAATGGCCATTATAACAGACACTCCGTGATACATATACTACGTATACATGTGTCCTACCTCCACCTCCGACAGCTTCCTGACCACCTCGATCTTCTCCTGCAGGACTCTCCTCAGAGACTCCTTGGCTGTCGTCTCGTAGTTGTGTTTGTCCTCCTGGAGAGCCAAGAGCTCCTTACGGATCCCTTCCTCCGTCTGGGACTGTGAGAGTAGAGACGAGGATTTCATCCATTTATTACTGTAGAATTTGTCATTTCAATCATGATATACTCTGACAGCGCTGCAAGAGTGTGTGTGTGTGTGTGTGTGTTACCTTAGAGTAAGCCTGTAGCTGACTGCCCATCACTTCCAGTCTGGAGAGAAGACGGTCCTCATCAATCAGAGCCTGGTGGAGACAAACACTAACTTTACAACAGTGTTGGGCATATGTGTTCATATCACAGGAGCTAAAAGGGAATGATGGGAAAACCTGCCATGTGGACTTGGTAATGTGAGACCAAATTACATTGTACATGTTGAAAATAACAGTAAATGATAGTTTTGCTGTGAGTCATGATGGACTTGCACTCACCTAAGGCAGATTTGTTTGCTCTTTATCAACAAAACAAAATTCCGAGTCATAATGACCATAATATGATCATTTCTATATGACGTAATAACAGCAATACAGTATAGATTAGTATAACACTACAGTGCAGTGTATCTTTTAGAGGTTAGGATGTAGACTACCTATGAGATGGGTAACTGTGGGATATGCAATATAATGTAAAACTGTTGTGTAACAGATATCGTGTTGTCTGTGTGACTGAAGGAAAAAATGGTGCTGAAATGGCAAAACAAGCTTTTAGAGAGCGGTAAACTGAGTATTTATTCAATGCAGAGAGTGTGTGAACCTTTTTAAAGACACAAACAGCAACATGCGCACATACAGACAGAGTGACCAAAGGCTAAACTGCCAGGTATTTCCTACCTGCCAGCTGCTCTCTGAGGCCTCCTGAGTGGTGGCTAACAGACGCTGCAGAGTGGCTAGCTTCTGCTCTAACATCTGCTCTCTGTGTAAGGCCTCCTGGCAGAGAGAGACAGGGAGGGGATGGAGGGACAGTGTCATCAACAGCAAAGAGAGAAAGATCTAAAGATTTGTTTTTAAAATGTCATGAACTATTTATTTTATTTACATGTGAATTAGTAAAATATGATGCCTAATAAAAAAGCAACTTGTATGAACATATCATTGTTGTACTATTTTGGGTGTAGTTTCATAGAATGACCAGTAGGTGCCAGTGTGTTACCTGTAGATACTGGGAGAGCTGGAACAGTTCCTGAGAATACATACTGGGAGTGTTGGCTGCAACCTATAAAACACACACACCAACATACTGACAGTTGTCTAGAGTTCATTCAGTCTTGTGTTTGAATTGAAGGTGGACAAACAGATGAAAAACCACAGAGGTCAAAAGCATATGCTCTACACGTACACACACACACGTGTACACACACTCTCACACACACACACACACACACACGCACACACAGTCTACACATCAGAGTCAGTGTAACAAAAGCAAGGGAAGAAATACAAACAAACTCAGCCAATCACTGTCTAAGAGTTTTGATCAACAAAGTAAAGTAGCACTGGGAATGAGCTCAGCTAAATTCTGAGGCCTCAAAAATGACAAACACTAACAGCAGTACCAGCGATCACATTGGTGGACCAGTGAGCTGTTGTACAGGACTATACAGCAATCATTTGTCCTGCATGTGTCCATCTTAAAGGAATAGTTCAACATTACTTCCAGCACACGGCTCCACCTAAATCTACAAACTAGGTTTTTTATTAGAGCTGCACTGATTACACAATAAATCCATTAGCTGATCGAAAGAAAATTCATCGTTAACTATTTTGATGAATGATAAATCTTTTATTTTTTTATGTCATTTTTCCTCTTTCCTGGTCTGACATCATAGTCAAATGAATATCTTTGGGTTTTGGACTGCTGGTTGGATAAAACAAGAAACTGTATATAACACCGAGTCAAATTTTACAAACCTGCACCCACCCAAACCAACCCGTTACCCAAAATTATCTGAGGTCATCCGACATTTTGTGTAATGTGCTGTCCCATTCAGATTTGCCAAGCACTTGCTCAGTCAGCTCCCATTTGTTGCCATCATTTGTTGGATGTAATGCAAAGTGACACAAATCATCTGCCCACATATCCAAAGTGAAAACCTGCAACTATCAGTCAGCTGCTTCCTCAGCTCTGGACTGATGAAGGTTGTGTCGTAGCCATTCACAAAGAAATATATCTATACCATGGCGGATCATTTCAATCAGTGGTTTAGATGTTCAAAAAAAAACAAAACAAAAAAAACTTATTTTCATTTCTGTTTTTTCATTGTCATGTTTATTTCACCTGCTGCCTCCATTTAGTTATTTAGTTTATTTAGTTAGAATTACCCTGACCTGCAAATGTTAGAGAGACCGATTCAAATATAATGTCACCTTGACTTCTAGGATTTTACTGTTTTCTGAGGTTTTATAAACCAATTCAAACCAATCAGTGAATCAAACAGTTGTTAGTTACAGCCCTACTGTTTAACATTTCTCTTTGTGTAAAGATTTTTTTTTAAAAAAAGAGATATGTTAGCTTTAGTGGTGTTAGCAAGTGCAGTTTTGAACTTTGGACTCTTTCCCGCTGTTTGCAGTCTCTCTGCTATTCTAGGCTACCCACATCCCGACTCCAGCTTCATTCTTAACAGAGACTGATGAACATCTAAGCGTTATTTTCCCCCCAAAATGTTGAACTATTCCTCACCTGATGGAGCTGCAACTGCACATTAAAAAAGCCTGATTGTAGTGAAAGCAGGTGTCTCATGAGCTATATGGCATCCCCAATTTTTCTTTTTAGTATTTTGGGCACCGACTTGAGCACACTGTGGTGAAACCAAAACCGAAGCCACTGGTACATGTAGTCTTGTCCAAAACCCACACATTCTGCCTGTGCAGTCAGGACATTTCCACCTTAAGTCAATGTGACAGCCTGGGTGTGTGCGTTTCCGAGTGTGTGACTCAGAATGTGTGCGTCTTCTGAGACCTGGGAGGTGTAAGGATCGTGCTTTAGGACACTTAATTATGTTAGAGAAGTGGCTCAAATCTAATCACAGCTCCTCCCTGACACACACGCACACACAGTTAGCTCCAGCCTACATTCCTCAGACAGGTTACACTGAGGCCCTGTTGTTCTCACTGTTGGAGGGAGAGACAGAAGAGGACAAGGCAGTGGAGGAAGCTAACATGAAGTATGGTACAGTATGGACTTTAACAATTACCCAGGCACTGTACGATATGTTATGAAATTATACAATTAAATATCCATGTGTTATGGCATTATAGGCTTTTACATAACAGGTTCATAACAGTCATTTAAAATACCACAGTATAATATGATACTGTGTGCTGTTTATTGGTATGTCTCAGTATGGTGTTACAGTGAAGTCTTCCTTGTGTGAACTCAACACTGAAAGCCTGCAGCTTTTGTACTGTGTGAGACATTCAACAGTATAAAAATAAACTTCTAAGTGTTGTCTGATGGACAAGCTATGTAATAGTCACTGAAACCCAGCTGCAGTTTGTAGTTTCTTGCTGACCAACATACACATACGATAAAGAAATATCTGCAATAAGCTCATATCAGCAAATGTATTAGCTTGGCCGATTTTATTTGGTTCTAAAAATATTTGTTCCAATTGTAACATCAAAGTTCATTCTTGACCTTTTAAAACAGTAGTATGACAAAACAACTTCAACTCAAGGTCCACTTACTAGCTTTTTCTGCAGATTTCAAGTGAATCACATAATCCTCATCAGTTGATTTAGCACATTAGCTGAGAGAAAACCCTTGAAGTGGACCCTGAAGTCGACTGTTGTCATACTTGCTTAATACCCAAAGTTTTAAATGTTTGTTTAACTGCGTCTTAGTCTTGTAAAGTCAGATTGCTGTGTTTTATTATTGATGTCTGACCTTAATTGTTTTGTTTTTGTGGGTTTTTAATGCTGCGAGTGGTGAAGCCAAAAACTGTTTTCCATATTGCGTAAACCGAAGTCTCTAACTTGCTTTCTCTGTATGAATTAACAGAGTTTCCTCAGCAAAAAGAGAGTCACCGACTTTTAAAGCACTTCAAACTCACTAACTGAAGAACTGCAGACAACATTAGGATGAACACCACCAGAGTCTCGACCTGTGAACGTGATGCTATGTCACCTAGTGAGACGTGTCAGCTGTGTGTTTATGGGTAGAACAGGCCAGTTACCTTTTTTATTCCTCTCATTCTAATGGATGAACTGGGTCAGGTCTAGATAAGATGTGTTGTATGGTGCAAAACAGTGCGTTTGATTTAGGTATATAGTGTACAACAATCACACCTAAGGCACTAAGAGTACACACATATACAGTAGAGACACGAGAGTCGGCTCTATTGTAAATGGAACCTCTGAATGAGATCCTACAGAAATCACAATCCGGTTGTCTGAGCTCTGAGCAGAGAACAAGACAAATAGGCCGATAATTTCTGCCTTCGGTGAACAAACATTTAAATAGTGTTGGAGACATCCAAAGCGCTTCGAGTGAACGGTGAGAAAAAGACTTTGCCCCTGATCCACATGAAAGATTTCTGTAGTGCAGCAGCACAAACTGCCAGCAATCCCTGCATTCCTCTATCAGCTGACTACTCCACTATGTGTGTGTGTGTGATTGTGTGTGTCTGTGTGTGTGTAAAGACTACTTTTGTATGTGAAAATTGGCGCACACACGCGCACACACATACATACACGCACACACAGCTCTGTCACTGAGAGGCAGGCCTACATAGAAATCTGAGACAGATGCACAAACAACTTGCACATGGGACAAGACAACAAAACAACACCACACACATATTTCTGTTCTTACCTTGTCTACAGGTAGTGGTAACGGAGCCTGGATGACACTGAGAGAGGATGAGAGAGGGGAGAAAACATTTTGTCACCATGGAAACAGCAAGGAAGGAAGACACATGGAGTAACCACAGCGACAGGAAGAGAAAAAAACCCCCCAAAAAAAACACGGTTCTTGAAGGTCTTGTGCCGCTCATTTTTCACCTCCTCGTTAATCAAAAACCTCATCGCAACAGAATCGTGTGCACAACAGCTGACGTGAAAAATCAAACCTCAACTAATACAGTGCTTTGATGACCTATAATATTTTACACACACACACACACACACACACACGGGAAGATCTTTTTAAAAACAGTTCAACTGCAGCCTCAAAAGTAATGTTTCTGCTATTTTGTCCACCCCTTGCATAATTTCAAAAAGAGATGCTGTGGTGGACGCACACAGAGAGGAACCACTGACTGAACACGCTTCAGGCTGCAGGGTCAGTCCAGCAGGTAAACACTGCAGTGGCTGTCAAGTGTGTTAAATCAGTGTGTAGTGGTTTGTGGTGTAGAAGTGACTCAAGCTGAAGCACAGTCAGTGAATCATTGAGTAGGACAGGAATCCCTTCCTTAAAGCCCAATTAAAGTTACTGAGGGATGTGACAGTTCACTCATGCGGAGCAGCTTGAGGTCAGTTTTCAGAGATGCAGAACGAGCCTGTAGTCAGCCATACAACGACAAGTCATACAGCACCTCCGTTTAGACTGCTCAGCTAATCACAACAACGCGCAGAAGTGTCAACGAGGGCCCAAGAGCACATCTGCAAACAGTCAGTGATATGAGCTGCTGCTGTCCTCACTGTAAGGTGTGGTGCAGAGCTTGTGTAGAGGCAAAATGTAGTGTAGGTCTACGACACTAACATGTGCGAGGCAGCAGGAACAGTGCCAGGAAATATGACAAACAAAAGACTGAGCTTTAGCAAAAAGAACCACTGTCAATTATCCTCAACCGCGAGAGTGGTAAGAACGAGCTGATAATGTAGATGGATGGTGATTTAAAAACCAGACTAAACTGATTTAACATTCAAGAACAAATTAAAAAGAAAAAGATATGAATCCACGTGTGAGTCTTATAGATTCCAGCGGCATTGTGGGGAAAACTGGCCACCATCAGTTCCTGCCCTGCAGTAACATAACATCTGCCATTTTGTGGAGATACTGTATCTCAGAACGCCACAAGGTCACACAGGTTTGTCTGAGCGAGGGTGAAAATAATCCAGAATTTACCTGGAAACAGTCAGACTTCAGGAATGAAGGTAAACTTGACTGTGGGCAAAGTGTAGCCTGACACTGTTAATGTATAACTACCAACAAGGAGAGGCGGGGACTCCAACAACTATGTGGAAGTAACACAACCGTCTCTCAGTTATTTAATTGATTTGATTCTTGATGATTCAGTTACATCTGATAAATAACAATGTTGTGTAAACTGCTTTATAGAATGTATCCTGGGGACTTCAATTTCTTCTACATTCAACAAGTGAACAACACTGTTGTTTCCTGGAATATAAAAATAATCAATAATCAATGAATGAATGAATAAGAAAATGAATTGTTTATTGCAGCTCTAAACTTTTTTTAGTACAGTACACAGGCAAAACATGCCAATATTCAACTAAATGACCAAACAAGGTTGTTTAGGTTGTGCAATTAGACATTTCCCTCTCACTATATTCTACATGACTGCTACGACTGCAGTCTGAAACATATTTCTTCATGTATGCAAATATAAATAAACCAAAAGCATTACCATGAGTAAAAAAAAAAGGATTCTCAGGTAATTTTGGTTTATAACTTTATTACTACATCACTTACCGATTTCCACATTAATAAGGTCCTTACTCGCAAAGACATTCCTGAAGTTTTAATGATGCAACCAGATTTAGTAAATCACTAGTGCAGCTGGCAGTTACTAAATACTTAGAGAAGACTTCACACACACACACACACACACACACACACACACACACACACACACACACACACACACACACACACACACACACACACACACAGCTGGTACAACCCAGTCCTGACTATAATCTCATGTAATGTTTCTACTTGAGGGACAGAACAAGAGAGAAATCAGCTCGATTTAAGGTAAAGTCGAGCAAAAGGTAAAAATACTTGTTAGCACTAAACAATGGCAGTTATTATTAATCTGAAAAGGCAGAGGTGTAGACAGAATGAAGGCATGGGGTGGGAAGAGTACTTTCATTAGAACTTTCTGTTTAGTACTTGAGGCCAAAGTGTAGGTGAGTGAATTGGATAAGATACTTTAAAAGGACATACCATTAATTTAAAGAGACTTTAGCATCAACAGAGCAGGTTTCTGCTGCTGCTGCTGCTCCTTCAATGTGACAAACAACTTCATCCATCACAGTAAACGTCAGAGACTTAACGTTTGATCCTGATTTTAACTGTGCCGTGTTTTCATATCAGAACTACATTACATTGAGCTCTGCTGCCTGTCCTCAGGAAATACTCCTATAATAATCCGCCAAAAAAAATAAATAAATAAAAAAAATAACTTCACTAGCACAAGAGCTTTTATCTAGTTTTATCTAGTCTTCTTAATAAGTATCTGTGACAGCAATTATTTCAAACTACATTTCACATAGTGAAGTTAAATAAATAAAGATTCTAACATCAGTATTCTTACCAAAGGGGTTATTACAAACTGCACAGACAGAGAGAAACTGGTTGTAATTCTGAATAACACAAGTGCACACACGTGAGGAACTTTCTGTCATCTGTTGTTAGTGGCATTTCCATTTGTTTTTTCCAGGGCTCACTTTAAAATAAAACATTTACATTGCATCCCAACAGCGAAGCACTTATTATATTTATTTTTCACCTTCTTTCTCATTGCTGGTGGTGGGACTAGCTGAGGAGGACTCCATCTTACTCTGTAGGTCCGACAATTTGTCTCTGCTACATCCATTAAGTCACAGCAGTCTGTCACGCTTTAATTTTCATCACCACAGCAAATCACTGTGAATAATGTTGTTTATTTATCACTCCTGCCAGCAGAAGTTCTGCCACTAAAACAGTATCATCACAGGAGGAGGCTAACTGCTCATCATTAGATTAGATTTTTTTTTTTTTTTTTTGCCAGTTCATGAATCAAGCTTAACCTGTGGCACGGGGCTTCACATAACTTGAACTCGTGAGACTTTTTCATTAAAAAAGGGCAACAGTGGGAGCTACAGGTTTAAAACTCTACTCACAACGCACCTGGCCCTGGTCCCGCCTTAGACCCATGTTGCCATAAAGGTTTTGGTATGTGAGCGAATCAAAGAAAAAAGATGGAGCCAGACAAAGGATGTGGTGAAACCTCCACAGCAGGTGTTTTCAGCAGATTCTGTCTACATGAAGTAATTCACTAATTTTCAGTCATCATCAAACACTGACTGCAGAGACCAGACAAGCTCTGCTCCAAAATAACATTTTAAAAAGGTGGAAAACATCCACAGCATAACATGACCTAAATTCACAGCTCTTCAACTATGGCTCACACACACACACACACACACACACACACACACACACACACACAACACACACAACACAACACACAAACACACAACACAACACACCACACACACACACACACACACACACACACACACACACACACACACACACACACACACACACACACACACACAGCAGCTGGTCCACAGGAATCAGTCATCCACATCAGATCTAGCTGAGTGTGTTTTGCATGCAGTCCAGCAGACACTGATGATGGAAAACACTGGCAGTAGTTTCCATCTGCGGCCTGCTCACATATTTTTAACACTAAATAGGTTTAACAATCACACCACAATTCAGACCTCAAACATTTCAAACTGTCCATACGGCTCGGCATCAAACCTCAATGCTCGTTTGGCACTGACCAAAATATGTCTTTAGCACCAATTATCAAAAAACTGTCAAGTACCGAGCTGGCATCAAGTATCTCGTCAGAATTGTTCTCATCCTCACTTATCCTTTGATTGACAAGTTTCTTATTTAAATGAAAATGTTGACAATTTTATACTATTTTATTTGGATAAAGCTGTTGTTCTCTTCTGCTTGTTTTAGACAACATTAAAACTGTTTTGTTTTTGTTTTTTTTGTTTAAAAGAAAAAAACAAGTTTTGCAGTAAGAGATTCCCAAAAGTTTCATTATGGTACCAACACTAGAGCTGAAAGCATTGGATCAGTGGATCAACTTTCTATACATTAGCTGCTTTTCTCTGTTATTTCACTGTTGCATCGGTGTAAATTGAATATCTTTGGATGTTGATGTGTGATGGGCACTTTCCCCGTTTCCTGGAATGTTTTCAGTCTAAACAATTGAGTGATGAAGTGTAAAAACAAATCGACAAATAATGAAATGAATGATTGAAATTAAAAAACATTTGTTGTAGCTCAGTTTATACAAAAACTCAGGTATCGCAAAATTTCAAAGGACACCTAGGCCTCAGTCCTGCAGGACAACTGGACCAATTAATGAAGAGACATGGACCGGTCCTGGAGAACCTCCTTACTACTTAGACACAGATTTATGCACAAAGATTGACCTGAGTTTAAAACAATAGAGTAAAGGATGCTTTCCTCACAGCTGATGCTTCAGGTTTGGCGACTTTTTTTTTTTTTTTTACCTCACAATGAATAACAAACCCATAAGTCATCTGAGCAAAACCACAAGAAATCTGCTACGTGCTGGGCCGTCAACCACTTTACACTTCCAGCTTGATTTTACGACGGGATGTAAATCACTCACAGACACTGTTACCAGTTCGAGCTTCAAATTGTGATACAACACAAACTTCAGGTCATCACAGTGTTTAGCTGTAAGGTTCTGTAAATATTCAGCAGCATGTTGCAGCCTGAACGGGAGCATCTGAGTCTAAAAAGCTGTTTAAGAGACATTACCTGTCAGGTCTTCTTCCTGTGTGTCAGCTGGTGATTTGTCACAGGACAAAGGTCACTGTTCGGTCTCTATCTCAGCCTGATTCAGCTACTTCTGTGAGAAAATGAACCCTTCCGCTTCTTGCTTCATTTTCTCTTCTTGTTTCAGACCAAGCAGCTCATTCCTCTCTGCTTTTCCACAGCGTGAGTAAAGTCATCCCATAACACCAACTTACTTTCCTTCTACTCTTTCCTCCTCCCCCTTCTCTGAGGAAAACAGCTGATTTTTCTTCCTTTAACTTGTGCAAGTTACTGTAGCTCCACCCCTCCTGGCACTCAGTGTGAGGAAACGAACTCTCCTCTCTGCTGTAGCTCTAATTGTTAACGACCTTTATGATCTGTGGGGCACTAAAGGTATGCTAGATAAGTAACCCACTGCTGCATGAGGGGGTGACCGTTATCATCTTACTAAATCTCATCAATATAACAATCAATAAATCTCATAAACAAGTTGACAGTCAAAAGCTCCACTCACCTGAGAGAGAGCAATGGTCCTGAACATGAAATATCCACCTGGCGACAAGTGTGTGTGTGTGAGTGTGTGGGTCTTTCAAGGAAATATGGCAGGTGATAACAGACTGATAAGGGACACAAAGGAGAGGTGTTGTCATGAACGAAACTGCGACTGGAGACAAAAAGTCGTTAAACCAGAAACATTTTTCATTATTTTAAAATTATATTTTTACCTGATGGAATTTTTTTTACGTTGATAAAACAAGTTCCATGTTTCCTGTACAAAAGCTGGAAGTGTGAGACATACAGTATTTAAAACAGCAGTTAGAGCTTTAATTTAAATGGAAATGGATGTTTTTGTGTAGTTCTCCTCTGTGTGTGTCACCACTGACTCCACACTGATTCACAGGCAGAAAAGCTGCTGCTGTACATTTTCAAACTTTTCTGGCCACACAGTGATCTCACAGCAGGTGTTTTGCATTAGAGGAAAACAAAATAGTATGGGTGTGTTCACAGTATTTTTTTTTTTTAAATCTGCCACTGCCTGTTTTACATAAGGTCTATTGGATGTGGGTGCAGACAGCTCAGACTGCAGCTATTTAAAAGTTGAAAAAGGTTTCACTTTTCAGTATGTTTTAAAAGCAAAAAGGTCAATTAATCTAACTATTCCTGTGAATTTTCAGGTTCACACCTACAGTTCTCAGCAAAGAGAACGACTGAGTCAAGGTTTTGAAGGACACAGATTTTGTCTACTGTATAAATATACTGTAGGTGTTTTACTCACACACGGGGGGTAACTGTATAAAGCCGTATTTGGCCAACGTCCAGATGGCTAATCCTATCACCAGGGAGCACAAACATTCTTCAGCTATTAATAAATCTGTCTAACCTAGCTTCACATCACTCTCCAGCTGAACTTTATTAGGGAGACTGAGCTGCACAGACTTAAATACCATGATAAGTAAATCTCTACTTGATTCATGAAAATGTAATTTCACCAAAATTTGACCTGGTGGAGAAAGTAATATGTGGATTTGTGATGATGGGTGGCATCACTAGTATGCGAGTCTAACGTGGTGCAACTTCCTCTACACTGATCCAACTGGGCAAAATTTTTATTCTTTAAGTTCATATTGAAATAAAAAATATCAATATCATCATATAAAAAAAATAATAAAATGCCGTATTTGAGCCAATATTATTTGTGCACTCCTGAGACATCAGTTAGTAGAAGTATTTGAATTTCCAATCTGTTTGGGTAACTGTGAGGAAGGACCAATGCCGTGATAATGTGTTGGAGGTTTGAGTTAATCTAAGCTAAAGTAAGCGGACACTCTTCCATCTAACCAGCTCACTGCTCACTCTTGCATGTTTTGGGGGCTCAGAATAAGAATGGCGGAAACCCTGATTTAGATTTTGGCCCACAGCTCAGATTCAGCTAGATTCAAACCAGAGACCCTCTGACAACGAGGAGCTTTCCACTCAAGCATCATCAGATAGTTTCAGTGCTTTGCTCCACTAAGCAACGTCTTTACAGAATGATTTCATGTATGATTCAACTCAGGTGAACTGCGTGTTTTTCCTGAAACATGTGAATGGAAATGAACTCTTCATCGGCCAACACGCGGACAGCTGGAGCAGAACAGACCCAAGGGACTGTTTCAGTCTGTATTCATACAGGTCAAGACACTCGTCTGCATTTTCCAGACTGAAAGCTGGACAGCAGGGCAGCAGATGGCACTGCCCACCATGGCACCGTGCCCCACACACACACACACACACACACACAGGTTCTACATGGTATCTACAGTAGCCAATCACAAACACACATACACACACACACACACACACAAACACTCACTCACAGGTGGGACTCCCAGTACAGTAGGAAGCTCCATGCTGGGTCAGCTGCTGGTCTGCTACATCCCATTTAACTGTACACACACACACACACGTTTGTGATCCTATAATATATGAGCATAATATCCTTCATTCTCAAACCCTCAGCATGAGCAATGTAAACATCACACCATGACCTGACCAACATCAACAACAGTTTTCAAATTATTATCAAAATGATCAAAAACACAAACTCACACACACACACACTCGCACACACTGACACACGCACCATTTCCCTCGCAGCATGTTAACCCCATGGCTGTCCTCATCAACAACTAGACTGACAATAATTACATTACTATGCAAGCAGAAATTTGGTGTGTGTGTGTGTGTGTGTGTGTTGTGTGTGTGTGTGTGTGTGTGTGTGTGTGTGTGTCTGTGTGTGAGAGCAGACAGACGGGCAGTAACGGCATCATTTACAGTAACTATAGAAACACTGAAACATCAATACCTGGTTCACTCTGTCAAATGATAAACAGG